GTGACCCAAGAAATCCCATAGAGCCCCCAACAGGCAAGCTCTTGTGAAAGAGGGAGGCAAAGAAAAATTTTCTGGCATGCCCTACGCTGCTTCCGCCGCTAGGAGACGCCTGTGACCCACGTTTGCCGAGAGAGTTCCCATTCAAACACATCTGCTACCGGGAAAAAAAATGCAGCTCAAGTGTTACAGTGGATGTAGTGATTATTTACAGGCAAATCTGGCCATCTCTGCACGTTCGCATCTCCGCCTCTGGAAGCTCCCTGGCTTTCAGCAAACGCCCCAAGTTCTGTTCAAACTTCATCTACATTTCGGGAGGAGAAACCCTCTGCCCCCAAATAATTTCTGGATCTGCATTGTCATTCAGCCGCATGTCTCTCACACACGAACACACGCGCAGACGCGCGCGTACACACTAGTGTTTCCATACGTACAAATGAACACATTAGAAAATTACCGTCATTTTTAAAAAGGCTCCAGGATTCTGATGAGTCAGCTTGGAGAGCTCAAAACATTTCTTTTCAATCCTGAAGATCTAAAGAAAAAGAAAGCCGGGGGCGGGGGAGGGGGGGAGGGGACGGAAGTACAGATGCAATACCGTATTAATATTCAGCTACTCTATAATCTCCTTTTCATTGATCCACAGGTCCTTTTCTACACTGCCGCTCCATTCTCAGCCGCAGACGTGATGCTAAAATCATTTAAACTGCAGCGGTTTTTCTCTTGGCTTTGGCCAGTCGTCAATTTACGCTGCAGCTGAAAAAGGATTAGCCATTTTTGCCGGCACACTCTCCTTCCAACCGCTCAAAGGCAGGACCCATCTCCGTGAAAGAGCCAAGTTGGGGAGGGGGGGAGCTTGTTCCCTGAGTTGAAAGCATTACAACACAGTAACTAAAGAGTTACCTGAATACTTATAATAGCACATACAATAAATCTTTTCCAGAAATTCTGGGGAACACCCACTCTTTGCTATAGATGTACACAAGCGGTACACCGTCTGTGGGATTGGCTCCAAAGCCTTGCCTCCCCACCTTTCAAGTTAGGTTATGCCACCACCGATAAGCCTGTTTTGTGGTTACCCATAAAAGATGCAGTCCAAGCCCAGGTCCTCCCCATTTTGCTCTCTGCACTGTGCTTGCTGAGAATGACAAGTGCCAGGAAGCATCTAGCTCAATCCCGGTCAAGCCTGGGGTTTGATATATTAAAATTTTGTATTTCCAATTCTTATAAACCACACACACACACACACACACACACACACACACACACACACACAAGCCCCTTCTCTCAAAGCTCTGGGCACACTGCAATAATAAGAGGATTTAGAAACAAATTGCTTTCGAGTCATGTTAAATCACTGCAAACACTCATTTATCCAAAGGCTGGTTAACAAACTTGTTTGTCTATGGCCCTTCCAGCACAGGGTCAGGAAGAAAGCGACCTCCTTGCCTAGCTTTAAAGTTTGTAAAAGCTCAGTGAGCTCCTCAGTGCTCCCCTGCCCTCCGCACTTAGAACACTATGAAATAACAAACACGCGTTATCACTCTCACATACAAACAATGACTTTTAAGAAAATGGATTTCAATAACCCCTCTCCACATGATTAAAGCTGCTTTCCCCTTCTGTCTAGGGATGTAGTTGCTCTGGTCCAGACAGTTGGCGCTCCTAGACATGAGTACACGGGGAGTATGTGTGCTACTCCCTTCCGGGCTCCAGTAACTGAGGGTGGAGGAAAGCTGAACGAACAGGAGACTCCATCTACACTTCAAAGTGGTCTTCAACCCCACCCTGGAGGCTGTTGTATCTTCAGTTATGACCTCTCTAAATTCTAGGGTCTATGGGAGGGAGAGTGAATCCTAAGAGAAGGGGTGGAAGAGAGGGATTCTCACAGAACAGAAGAAAGCAAACCTGTTACATTTAAGAGACATTATTAAAAGGTAAATTTAAGTATTGTTTTGAGTAGTGGGCTATGCGGTGGGATTGTTTTAATGGCTTCACGGTAAACAGAGAGGGCTGTTAATCCAGTATCTGAATCTTAGCTCCAAAGGAAATGCTCTTTACAATTGCCCTTGGCTTGAGCTACTTAGCAGAGGTGGAGCACTGGGTTCGGGTCTGTTCTGCCTGGAAGAAGACTCCATCGTCACCAAAATGATCCTGAGCTGGCGCCACAGAGACTAGAAGTCAGAGTGGCGGGACCTCTAGAGGACCCGAGCCCGGTGTCGCCAGCGCTGAGACAGGCCTCTGTGACCCAAGAAATCCCATAGAGCCCCCAACAGGCAAGCTCTTGTGAAAGAGGGAGGCAAAGAAAAATTTTCTGGCATGCCCTACGCTGCTTCCGCCGCTAGGAGACGCCTGTGACCCACGTTTGCCGAGAGAGTTCCCATTCAAACACATCTGCTACCGGGAAAAAAAATGCAGCTCAAGTGTTACAGTGGATGTAGTGATTATTTACAGGCAAATCTGGCCATCTCTGCACGTTCGCATCTCCGCCTCTGGAAGCTCCCTGGCTTTCAGCAAACGCCCCAAGTTCTGTTCAAACTTCATCTACATTTCGGGAGGAGAAACCCTCTGCCCCCAAATAATTTCTGGATCTGCATTGTCATTCAGCCGCATGTCTCTCACACACGAACACACGCGCAGACGCGCGCGTACACACTAGTGTTTCCATACGTACAAATGAACACATTAGAAAATTACCGTCATTTTTAAAAAGGCTCCAGGATTCTGATGAGTCAGCTTGGAGAGCTCAAAACATTTCTTTTCAATCCTGAAGATCTAAAGAAAAAGAAAGCCGGGGGCGGGGGAGGGGGGGAGGGGACGGAAGTACAGATGCAATACCGTATTAATATTCAGCTACTCTATAATCTCCTTTTCATTGATCCACAGGTCCTTTTCTACACTGCCGCTCCATTCTCAGCCGCAGACGTGATGCTAAAATCATTTAAACTGCAGCGGTTTTTCCAGCTACTCTATTTTCTCCTTTTCATTGATCCACAGGTCCTTTTCTACACTGCCGCTCCATTCTCAGCCGCAGACGTGATGCTAAAATCATTTAAACTGCAGCGGTTTTTCTCTTGGCTTTGGCCAGTCGTCAATTTACTGCAGCTGGAAAAGGATTAGCCATTTTTGCCGGCACCCTCTCCTTCCAACCGCTCAAAGGCAGGACCCATCTCCGTGAAAGAGCCAAGTTGGGGAGGGGGGAGCAGGGCGGCGGGCACGCAGTCGCGGGACTCGCAGCAGCATGCCTTAGACTACAGTCACACTCCTGGACACGCGCGCTCTCTCAATTCCCCACCAGAGGGAACAGCCACGTACCTCAGGGTCTGGGAAACGACTCTCCTTTTCCCGCAGGTTGTGGTGGTGTTACGCTTGGGTCATTCATTACCCGAAAGCCGCAGGGGACCTTCCTATCTGGTGGCGTTAGAAGGAAACTGAACAGGGGCTGCTTTAGTGAATAAACAACCTATTCCTTGCGAATAGCCCATTAATTAATATAACAATATATATTTATGTATCTTTCCTCGGAGAACTGGCATTCGACCCGCTCTCCAGCACTGACGCGTTCGCGTTGTATTGTAACTTCACAAGAACTGGGGCTGTGGATGCGCCGCGCGTCCCCAGCGCCTGGGGAGGGAGTGGGCACACTCGCAGCTGGTCAAGCGCGTCCTTCAGAGCTGGAAGGGGGAGGGGTGGTGGGCTTACTCGGGACTCAGCATGAGACTAGAAGGGATGGATGTGAACACCGTGAATGTGCAAACGTGTTGGAAGATATCTGCAGCGGCACACGCTCGGGCCCCGCGTGTGCACGGTCCCTGCCCACCGCCCCAACCGCGTTCGCGGGTGCCCCGCCGTCCTCATCCAGCTGGCCAACCCCACGCTGGGCTAGAAGCGGTGCCCCTGTGTCTAGCATGGTGGCGAAAAGGAGGATCTCCAGTCATCAAAAAGAGCAGAAAATAGAGCGTGTTCCCGCCGCTGCGTGGCACTTGGCCGGAGCAGGCGCAGGGATATCCGAGGAGCTTTGCAGCGCCGGGCGGTCCTTGCAGCCAGGCGCCCCTTGCAGCCAGGCGCCCTAGAGCCTGGCGGCGGGATGACCAGCTCAGAGGCAGAACGAAACTCCTCAGTCCTTGATCAGTTCCTTGATCAGGCACTCACAGCTCCTAGCCGTCCCCGGGCGAGGTCATCTATTTGGTAGGGATTTTGTGGCTCTACATTTAAGGCGGAAAGAGGCACGTCTAGCGAGTCGGCACGTCTATAGGGGCTGTTAGCTCACAAACCCTTAGAATGAATCCCTCCGCTTTTTTTGGACCCACCTCTGCCCTCCCCCTCCCCCCGCAACTGCTATGCCCCTTCCCACAAGGCCCCTTCAGATGCTCACACTTAGATTGACACATGCCATAATATACCCACTTTTTAAATATCTTGCCAATATCTGCTAGAGTTCCTTAATTAGATAGCCCTTGTCAATTAGTGGCCCCTGTGCAACTTTCCCCCCTTCTCGGTGGTTTATTTCCATGATCCGAAGCAGGGAAAATACCTTAAAGGAAAAAGAATGTTAGCATCATTGGAAACCCCGCTCCTAGGAGAGGATACCGCAGCTGTTGCTATTATGTTTTCGCATTTGCTGATGCAAACAGGGGAACCTCTCGAATTCCCTCCCCATTACCTGCGGCTGGGGACTGGGAACTTTCCGCGGCACAGTCCCCAGCCAGCGCCTCGGGACCTGCGGGCTGTTCTCGCTCTCACACTCACACTCACCCTGGCTGCCCGGGCTCAGGCTCTGTCCCGCCTCGCCTGGCTGCCATGTGACGTATATATTTGACAGCAGGTTGAACCAATCAACGGAAGCTTAGTGGGTGGTGCTCCTCAGCGATTGGTTGGCAAAATGAGGGCGCTGCGCAAAAACAGAGAAGCCGAGCGCTCTGAGCTCAGAAACTGCCAGCCAGGATCACAGGCTCAGAGGCTGAAGCAGGAGGAAGGACTGGAAGGGAAAGGGAGGAAGTGGGAAAGAGGCTTGGGAAGGAAACAGCAGAAAAGAAACTGCTCATTTTACTTACAGAGAGGCAAGTAACGGTGGAGATAATGACAGAGGGAGACAAGACTATGAAAGCCAAAAAACACAAATAGAGTGAAAGAGGGGGAAAATGTCAAGAAGAACATTCACCCGGAGAAATGAAGAGAATGAAAGTTTTATGCTGCAGAGCCCTTCTATGCTGTTCCGGCACAACATTGTCTCGCTGTTTTTAAGCAATTTTGCATTTGCTAGCCGTTGACATTAAGAGGCATGTTCAGCGGTGCCAGCAGCATCTCCACTTCCTTCTCCTCTTCCTCTTCATCTTCCTCCTCCTCCTCCTCCTTTTCCTCCTCCTCATTCTCCTCCCATCAGCAAGAAGACAAACCGAGGACAGTCTTGAAATATCGAAATTTCCTCTTTGGGATTTGCCAGCGCCGCGTTGCGCCAAGACTGTCGGAATAAAGGACGCTGACTACTGTATTATCGTTATTTTATTAATTGGTCAGTGGGAAGATTACAGATGAGGAAAGGGGATGCCTGTCACCCTTCCTGTGCTAAGATTGAAAAATGAGGCTGGATTGGGGGAAGCTCTAAAATGAAGCAAAAGGATTAAGATTTTTTAAAGACAGAGTACCACAGGAGCCCCCCTCCCAAATAGCACACTTTTATTTGTATTTTTTTTTTTAGATTTTTTTTTTTCCGTGGTGGTGGGGGAGGTGACTGGGTGGCTGACTGGCTGCGGGAAGCTACTTCCTTTCCTTTTGGAGATGATTGTGCTATTATTCTTTGCCTTGCTCTGGATGGTGGAAGGAGTCTTTTCCCAGCTTCACTACACGGTGCAGGAGGAGCAGGAACATGGCACTTTCGTGGGGAATATCGCTGAAGATCTGGGCTTGGACATTACAAAACTTTCGGCTCGTAGGTTTCAGACGGTGCCCAACTCACGGACCCCTTACTTGGACCTCAACCTGGAGACCGGGGTGCTGTACGTGAACGAGAAGATCGACCGCGAGCAGATCTGCAAGCAGAGCCCCTCCTGTGTCCTGCACCTGGAGGTCTTTTTGGAGAACCCTCTGGAGCTGTTCCGGGTGGAGATCGAGGTGCTGGACATTAATGACAACCCCCCCTCTTTCCCGGAGCCGGACCTGACAGTGGAGATCTCTGAGAGCGCCACGCCGGGCACCCGCTTCCCGCTGGAGAGTGCGTTCGACCCAGACGTGGGCACCAACTCCTTGCGCGACTACGAGATAACCCCCAACAGCTACTTCTCCCTGGACGTGCAGACCCAGGGTGATGGCAACCGATTCGCCGAGCGCCACCCGGTTCGCCGAAGGGGGGTGGGAAAAGCCACTGGACCGAGAGCAGCAAGCGGTGCACCGCTACGTGCTGACCGCGGTGGACGGGGGAGGAGGGGGAGGAGGAGAAGGAGGGGGAGGCGGAGGGGGAGCGGGCCTGCCCCCCCAGCAGCAGCGCACCGGCACGGCCCTACTCACCATCCGAGTGCTGGACTCCAACGACAATGTGCCCGCTTTCGACCAACCCGTCTACACTGTGTCCCTCCCAGAGAACTCGCCCCCAGGCACGCTCGTGATCCAGCTCAACGCCACAGACCCGGACGAGGGCCAGAACGGTGAGGTCGTGTACTCTTTCAGCAGCCACATCTCACCCCGGGCGCGGGAGCTCTTCGGACTGTCGCCGCGCACCGGCCGGCTGGAAGTGAGCGGCGAGCTGGACTACGAAGAGAGCCCGGTGTACCAAGTGTACGTACAAGCCAAGGACCTGGGCCCCAACGCCGTGCCCGCGCACTGCAAGGTGCTGGTGCGAGTGCTGGATGCTAACGACAACGCGCCCGAGATCAGCTTCAGCACCGTGAAGGAGGCGGTGAGCGAGGGCGCGGCGCCTGGCACGGTGGTGGCCCTGTTCAGCGTGACTGACCGCGACTCGGAGGAGAATGGCCAGGTGCAGTGCGAGCTGCTGGGGGACGTGCCGTTCCGCCTCAAGTCTTCCTTCAAGAATTACTACACCATCGTGACCGAGGCCCCCCTGGACCGAGAGGCGGGGGACTCCTACACGCTGACAGTGGTGGCTCGGGACCGGGGCGAGCCGGCGCTCTCCACCAGTAAGTCGATCCAGGTGCAAGTGTCGGATGTCAACGACAACGCGCCGCGCTTCAGCCAGCCGGTCTACGACGTGTATGTGACCGAGAACAACGTGCCAGGCGCCTATATCTACGCGGTGAGCGCCACCGACCGCGACGAGGGCGCCAACGCCCAGCTAGCCTACTCGATCCTGGAGTGCCAGATCCAGGGCATGAGCGTCTTCACCTACGTGTCCATCAACTCCGAGAACGGCTACTTGTACGCCCTGCGCTCCTTCGACTACGAGCAGCTTAAGGACTTCAGCTTTCAGGTGGAAGCCCGGGACGCCGGCAGCCCCCAGGCGCTGGCAGGCAACGCCACCGTCAACATCCTCATAGTGGATCAGAACGACAACGCCCCTGCCATCGTGGCGCCCCTCCCGGGGCGCAACGGGACTCCAGCTCGCGAGGTGCTGCCCCGCTCGGCGGAGCCAGGTTACCTGCTCACTCGCGTGGCCGCCGTGGACGCGGACGACGGCGAGAACGCCCGGCTCACCTACAGCATCGTACGGGGCAACGAAATGAACCTTTTCCGCATGGACTGGCGCACCGGGGAGCTCCGCACAGCGCGCAGGGTGCCGGCCAAGCGCGACCCCCAGCGGCCTTATGAGCTGGTGATCGAGGTGCGCGACCACGGGCAGCCGCCCCTGTCCTCCACCGGCACCTTGGTGGTTCAGCTGGTGGACGGCGCCGTGGAGCCCCAGGGCGGGGGCGGGGGCGGAGGCGGAGGGTCAGGGGAGCACCAGCGCCCCAGTCGCTCGGGCGGCGGGGAAACTTCGCTAGACCTCACCCTCATCCTCATCATCGCCCTGGGCTCAGTGTCCTTCATCTTCCTGCTGGCCATGATCGTGCTGGCCGTCCGTTGCCAAAAAGAGAAGAAGCTCAACATCTACACGTGTCTGGCCAGCGACTGCTGCCTCTGCTGCTGCTGCTGCGGTGGGGGGGGTTCGACCTGCTGCGGCCGCCAAGCCCGGGCGCGCAAGAAGAAACTCAGCAAGTCGGACATTATGCTGGTGCAGAGCTCCAATGTGCCCAGCAACCCAGCCCAGGTGCCGGTGGAGGAGTCCGGGGGCTTCGGCTCCCACCACCACAACCAGAATTACTGCTACCAAGTCTGCCTGACCCCAGAGTCCGCCAAGACCGACCTGATGTTCCTTAAGCCCTGCAGCCCTTCGCGGAGTACGGACACTGAGCACAACCCCTGCGGGGCCATCGTCACCGGTTACACAGACCAGCAGCCCGACATCATCTCCAACGGAAGCATTTTGTCCACCGAGGTAAGGCTGAAGCGAAAGGACCACCATCTCTCATCTCCTCCATCTGAAAGCCTCCTCTAGCCCGGCCCTTGTATCTCTGGTGCACTGTGTATTTATTTTTAGGATTTTAGCTTATTTGTATCATTGTGGGGATGGGGAATGGGGGTTACCCTCTCCCACCCCTTCGTGTGTAACCCAACTTTCGCGTTATTCCTTATTCTCTGCACTCCACCCCTCCGCATTTATTTTCATTCCACCCCCTGGTGCCTTGCACCCTAGAGAGCTCCCCATTTCCCTTTCCCATCTGTCTCCTATCTTAACCCATCAGTCTTTCCCCAGCGCTGAAACCCGGAGGAAAGGGGAAAAGTGCGCGCAGGGAGAGGGAAATGTGGGGGAGGGACCTTCTAGAACTCGCAAAGGTCTTTTTTTCTCTTTGCGTCTGTCCCAGGCGTTAATAAAGTTGATTCTATTTTGCTTTGTTTATCGATGCTTTCAGTCGCGTGTACAAGCTATAGATTGTTTAACTTTACACAGTTGTCTAAACTCGAATGCATGTTTTAGTGAACAAGTTATCAGATCCTTGTCCTCTGAACTTGGGTGGCAAAAAAAGCCTTCAGTTCTGTTCTGGACAGCATTTACAAACGCACTTGAAGCCGAATGCCCACACAGTGTGAATTTGAATGAAGTTGCTTTGGCACCAACCCCTGTAAGCGTAAACTAACAAAAGGTTTAAACAATTGTTGTCTTAAATTTATCTTTTAGTAATAATCACCTTACTGCCACTGTTTTTTGATACATCACTGCTGTTGGCTTTCTTCATCAAAGAATTTGGCTTGTCAATTCTGATTTCTTTATAAAAGATGGAGAAGTGGCAAAGTTGGGGAGTTGGGGGGAGAAAACAGTTCGTTTTTGTAAAAGAGAGCTTGGAAGGAAAGGGTGTGGGTGGTGGAGGTGGGAAGGAGAATTCAGGGGGCCTTTGGAGGGAAAAAAAGAATTGGGGGGACAGGAATATGAACTCTTTTCTTGGCAGGTCATTTTATTTGATTTTTAGATAATACTAATTGACTTTCATGAATATTTGTACAGCTCATTTGTATCTTAAGCACATTTTGAAAATAAACAACAAAACAATTCTATAAAATATCCAAACTTTTGCTTGTTGAGCGTGCTGTTTTTCTTGTGTCAACCAGTATGCACCTAAACACTTTTTTAGGCCACTGACCGACTGCAGACTATAACTAGGTTGACTGTTAGCAACAATAGTTTATAAGCCCCAGTTATGAGGTCATTTGCATTCTCTCTTTAAATAAACACATTTAAAGTTGGCTGGTTTTTTTAACCTTTACAAGTGACTGTATTCAAGTGTCTCTGCATACTTCCCCTGCCCTTACCCTGCAATCACTAGGTTGAGGTCTTAGGAGAGCTTGTCAAGTCATAGAAATACACACAATTACCTAAGCTGGAGATAGTTCCTAACCTCAAAAATAGACTATTAGCTAAATCTTCAGCATTCAGATACTCTTGATTTATTTATTTTTTTTCCTAGACTAAACATCAGCGAGCAGAGCTCAGCTATCTAGTTGACAGACCTCGCCGAGTTAACAGGTATGGACTCTTTTTCTTTTTTTTTCTTCCCCTAGCTTGGTGTATGGACAATTTACTACCTAGTGAAAGTACATTATCTGAAATTAAAATGTGGCATGTATAAAGTTTTCCCAATGAAGGCAGGGCATAAATATCAATTATATTATGTTTCCTAGCAAATTACATTCAAAAAAGTGTATTTTATTTGTATCCAACTGACAAAATAAATTTGAATATTTTCTCAGTATACATTTGTACATAGCTTCTGTTAAATCTTTCTGTTCCAGATGTTTACACTTACCTCGGCCTCTTGAAACTAATATGAACATGTCCTTAGCTCCAGTCATAGACTAATGCCTAAATTTTACATGCCTTCAGTACATAAGTTGACTACTAATGTTACATTTTTAAAGAGTAAGATTTAGGTTATGAAAGCCAGCTTGATGCAAAAATAAAGCCAACTAAGAGGTCTGTGAGTCTGCAGCACCATCTGTGACCATGTGGTGGCAGAAGAATGTTTTCTGTGTTTCTTCACCTTTTTTATTCTAATATTCCCATTTGTGTACTTCTAGTTCTGCATTCCAGGAAGCCGACATAGTAAGCTCTAAGGACAGTGGTCACGGGGACAGTGAACAGGGAGACAGTGATCACGATGCTACCAATCGCGGCCAGTCAGCTGGTAAGTGTGATCAAAGGGCAACTGAAATGCTGACTCTCTAGTTTTTGTTCTTATTTTTCAGAACAAATCTAGAAAGGATGAGGTCCTATGTAATTTCCTGCAAGGTTCATGCTGGTAACTCTACAGGAGAATAGTGTCACCCTGGGTTGATAACTGGGTACTCAAAGAGGCCTATCAAAACATAATATTCCTTTGGAGAGTTAAAGTTAGAAATCCACTGTGGAATATGTGCAAATATAACATACATCTTTTTTATGCAGTTCTCTTTTAGTAGAATCATATTGCATTCAAAAAGCCATAGGTCTTTCACTTGATCCAATCTTTAGTCAATTACGGTTTCATTAGACTTGTTGATGGATGAAGTAACTAAGGATGAATGAAATTGACCTGCACAAGGTCACAAGAAGATAAATGAATGACTGGGGACTAAAATCCAAATTCCTTGCCTTCCAGAGCAATGCATTTTGCACACCCCCAAATACTGAATGAGAGAAGGAATAGTGATTAAAATTTATAAGTAGGTTGGAAACAGACTTTCTGATCTTGAGTTCTTGGGCATCAGGACATTAATGAACATATGATCATGTACATTTTTTGAAACATCATAGGCTTCCTCATTTTCAGCAGGGCCTGTGACCCATCAGAAGTTGAACTCTTGAGTGTGGTTAATGTAAACTTGATGGTACTCAATGACAGGGGTTGCAATATGATATATATTTTTACTTTTCATTACATAATTTAATCTTTGAGTTTTATACCATCTTAACTCTTAATGAGTTAAACTAAAAGGGAACTCTTATAAGACATAAAATATGTACCTTAAAATGAAAATAATTTCGTCAAGTTCTAGTTTTCTTCCTAATTCATTTGGACTTTACCTATGAAGGATGCTTATTGAATTTTTTTACTTTGTCTGTATAGTTTTGTGTGCATTTGACACATGAGGAGATGAAAAGTTAGTCAACTTTTGTGACTTCTAAAAATGTCCATTATTGGACTGTGACAGGGTTCAACTCAGCTTACCGTTTTTCTTTTTTTAAAAAAAAAAAATTAACATTGCTTTGATGAATAAAATAACCATAGTGTGAAATGATCCTTATTTTCACAGTAATATTAGTCCTCGAGAGCACTCGTTCCTTAACACACTTGGGGGACCTCTGAATGCTGTGGAGGCAGTGTGTCAAAGGGCAGGGCACACCCCATGGTGGCCTGGCTACAAGCCTCTTGCTTGGCTGGTGTCTGCTGTGGTGTGGCCGCCTTAGCCTTGGGAAACTCGGGCAGGAGGAAGGGAAGGAAGGCTGCTCAAGGGTCTCTTTATATTGCTGCAAGTCATTAATATGCAGACCTAATGAGACTTGAGAACTGCCAAGAATCCCCGGAGGTCCCTGCCCCTTGCGGGCCTTCACGCTAAGTGAACAGAGCATCTATTTAGTGTCTGGGAACCTGACAACAAACCAGATCTTGCCAGAAGTTTATATGGGAATACAAAGTCCCTTTCATTTTTGCCCTATATATGGCATATGATTTATTGTGATCCTTAACAAACTGTACATTGGGGATTGCTCATTTCTATTCTTTAGAGTTTCTAATTTAACAGTTAGTCTTTGAAAACTTTTAAAACAAAATGTTTAATATTTTTTATAAAAAGAGTATCTGCTACTTGTTTCCTTGGATACATTTTCTTTCTTTCCCATCACCCCTTCCTTTGTTTCTTTCTTTCTTTCCTTCTTTTCTTTTCTTTTCTTTTTTTTTTTTTTTGTAGCACTCCAACCTCAATGAACATTTCAATTAGTTTAGTCCCTCAGACATAATGAGCCATAATAGCCTATCCTATGAAAGAGAAATGAATAAACATCTGCAAAAAGAGCTAAATTTGGAAGTTAGATTGGGAGTATATTCTTACCAATGTGTCTTCCCAAGAGCTGTTTCATTTCACAGGCTCTCTGTGCTGCCATATTGGTAGTTCTTTCTAATTATTTGAGATGTCAAACATTTAAAGGAATACTACCGCTAAACTGTGTTCTGGAAAACTTTTCTTTTTTCAAAAAGCAAAACAGTTTTTATTTTTCTTTATCCAAATGGTAATTATTTTTCCTCTTTTTAAGTTCTTAGATGTGCAAAAGTATTATAGGATTACCAAAGTATTTCATTAGTAGTTACAGGGCAGCCCCAATCTACTGGGCACAATAGTAGCTGTTTTAGGACTGTAACAAAAGTCCTTATATTAAGAAGTAATTGCATCTCTGTGTGCTGAATTGCAAGCAGATTTAGTATGTCTAATTTTATGGTAAGAACGATTTTGAAGTGTTTTCTTTTTTAAGTATAAATGCCCCAATGCAAAGAATTAAACATGCACTTACTTAATGAATTTTTAGTTCTTATTGATACTCTTCTATAAACCTCACACCAAGTAGGTAGAACACGTCCAAAAAGTCAAGCTTGCTTAAGATAAATCTGTTTTATTTCTTTGTAAATCCAAATATTAATCTAAAATCTTCCAATTTTGCCAAATTAGAGGTAATCTTCACAGAGCAGTTATTTCCATATTTAAGGTCTAATAAAAGGACCATACTAATGAGTACATTTTGCTAAACTAGGTTTTAAGAGGGGAGCGATCAAGGAAAACTAACACTGAAAAGATAAAATTTCTGACTTCTTTCAGTTTGAACCTCATTCTCTACTATATTAGATACATCATTTAGCTTATTGCTCTACCTGGTTCAGTTTCTTTTAATTTATCCCTGCCCTTTTTTTCTATGTTAGCATTATTTTTTTTTAATTTTTTTGATATGCCTTGTGTTCATTCTTTTATGAATAGTTCCTGCCCTTTTTTTCTATGTTAGCATTATTTTTTTTTAATTTTTTAGATATGCCTTGTGTTTATTCTTTTATGAATAGTTTTCTTTTTTGTTCTCCCTCCCCCACCCACCCGCCCTTGCTTTTCTCCTTTCTAAGCCACTTGCAGTCACCAATCTTGTTCATAGAAGGGCTTTAAACACGGAGGCAGCTGCGCAGAGAATCACATAAGCTTTTTCAGTTTTCCACTGCACCTGGCTCCATGTGTGAAATTCTTCAGCATGACCACTGCTCTGTGGCACTTTCTTTCTATGGCCTTGTCAAGGTGCTTTCCGTTTTTTTCAGTGCATTATTGATATATTGGTTAGATATGGCCAAAGTCCAAGGAGATGTGGTAAATGCATGCATAAACCATCTCAAGAGGAAAAATTGATTAATCGCAGCTTAAATAGCCGAAAAAGTAGACTTGATAAAATATTTTTTCTATTTTGGAATATAATTACAACATTTTTGCTTGTATATTTTTAAACATTTTGAATATTATTGGAGGTATTTCTAAGGAGATCTGTTCAGTAGTTGAGGTATTTGGTATGGCTTTTTAAAATTTACAAAATACCTACACTAGGATTGCTTATTAAATTAATTTTCAATACTTTGTGCCTTTTAAAAAAATATGTTGAAGAGGAGAACCCTAATAAGTTATTGGGCTACTTGTTACACAGTACCTAAAAATGTCAAATATTTCTTCATGAAATGTCTCTTTCACTTATTAGGAAACACATTAACTTCTAGATGGATTTAGTTCTTAACTTATTATTATGAGAGTTATACATCGTGCATGGTAAAATTTTGACTGTCAATTCAAAAAGATACACTTACTCAAATTTTCAGTATTTACAAATTAGAGATGTACAGTTTGAAGTGAATTAAGCCATTGTACTCCCACAGTACCTGCATTCGTGATTTACTTAATATTTAACTGTCCCTTCTTAACTCCAATAAGAATTTAAATATTCAAAAATTAGATTTTGACTTCACAAACAAAGTATATCTACTTTGTTTCAAAAATCTTATTCAGGTTTCTGGTGAATCTTTGAGCTACAACTTGAAATTGTGGCGAGATTTATAATTGGAAAAAAAACATGTAACAGAAAATGAGAAAAGTGGGTAAATGTGTAAACATTTTGAAAGATGATAGGGAATAATTTTGATGTGCACATTTTGACTTTTTCATGAGTGAATTATGTTGATAAAAATCTGTTCCAAACCATATTTTGCTAAAAACTGCAGCAGTTTTTGTGGCTATAATTAATATCTTTTAGTTTTCATTGTAAAGTAGTTAAAGAAAAACTGAAAATATTAAAAAAAAATGAAGGGCATTGGTTTTTCTTTAAAATGTATTTATCACATTCGGAAAAATTTTTAACGTGAGAAAGAAATGTGCACACAATTGTTTATTATTGGATTCATCAGAAACTAGTACCATTTGATTAGGAGGCTAATAATTCTGAAATGACAATTTGTTCTCAGTGGAAATATCCACTGTCTTAGACTATGAAGGACAAGTTACTTACCAGTTGAAAAATATGTATTTTAAAATTTGTCTAAATATATCTTTGCATAACAGGCAGTCAGTCTATCACATCAGCTGTCATGCCTTGCAGAACAGATTATTTCTGAAAAGTGGAAAACATAAATAACTAGAAAAAGAGATTGCAAGCAAAAAAATATATGTTGACACTTTATTAGAAATCAAAAATTCAAAAGTGATGTTCGGCCTGTGTTTTCATGATGTGCAAATTCCACAGGTTCTATAGTAAGGGCATTTGAATGGAAAAAAAATAATCAAATCAAAGTTATTAACTCTTAAGCCTTCAATTTAAGCCATTAAAATTTTTAACACCGAAATAAAAGGTATGCATTTTAGTGTCACAGGTTGGCATCTGGCATCCCTGTGTATTGTGGAGTCATTTATCACAGCAAAGCTTTAAAATACCTTTGCTTATTTAGAAATCAAAGTAATATATCTAACAAGACTACTGGTAGATATTAAGTAATAAAATAATGTTAGATACTGGCTTCCTAAGGCGAAAATCAATAATGAGATAAATATATTTGGCTTTCAAATTATACAAACATATGACAAATAAAAAAATTCATTTTCAATTAATATGTACACTACTTATTTGAATTTTATTGATATATTACCCAAGTGTTTCTCAGTTTCATTCCAATGTCTGATTTTTCACATGAGAAATAGGCAAACTTGTCTTATCAATAACTCTTGTGAAACCTCATACTCAGTTTAGCCGCCTTCCATTTCATTCTAGATATCTAATGTATATTACTACTAAGCGAATTCCAGTAAAAAATGATTCATTGATAATTTTGTTAAGAACATTATTTACAAGAATTTTCCATCTGTCCAATGACATTGTTCTTTTCAGAAAACCTTTGTTACGTGCATGCTGTATTTTTAAAACAAAGAATCTGAAATCATGTAAACTTTAATACATCATCTGCATGAATTTTAACCAGCCTCTACTACTTAAGAGAGGCAGAGGAACTATATATTTGCAAGAGAAGAAAATCAACACAGTTGAGTATACACTACCCATAAAAATAATTCCTAGTAAAGTACCTTCTAAAATAACCAAGCTATATCTTGATATGAGTTTTAACATACTATTTTATTCAAATTTTCTGTGTGAAATTGTCATAGAATTAGAAGAGTATCTAGACAGAACTGCAGGAAAGTTGTGAATGGTCTTATTTGGCATATTGGAAATGATGTACACCAATAACGAAAACCGTATCCATTACAAATTTTGCACTAGTACCCATCTTTATCAGGATCCAGTGAAACAATTCTATGTTACTATTTGAATATAATTTTACCACGTCTTCTAATGCAATGTAACAAATCCATTTTAAAAATAATTAAATAATTGCTTATCATCATTTTCCTCTTAGTGTCTGGTAAATAGACACTAAGAATTAACTTAGGAGTCAAGTGTGTCGAAACAAATCTCCTCTTTGGTTTTGGAGTTTGTACTACCTAGTAATGGGAATCAGGGACATTCTCCTTCTCTCTCACTTTTTCTTTCTGCATATCTTCCGGCAGAAATAGAATGAAGGACTGAGCTTTTCTGGTGTCTAGTGAAACATTTACATGTTTTACATGCTGTGCTCAGTCTGATTCCTTAATCCTAACTTCAGCTCACGTATTCATTCCTCAACAGTTCACTGATCAGTAATTTATTTCCAGGCTTATGCCTGACAATTATCAATGGAATGTTATAATCAAAGTAAGATTTAGTATTATATATAGCTTAATTTAAAGTCAAAAAAAGTCATTATATACCGAGTTTAATGTATAAGAAGCTTGGTGTTATTTACTTTAAAATAATTTATGTCATTAGCTGTCCTTAACTGTAAAATACCTGTGGATAATCTAGAAGGTTCATAATTTCAAAAAATTATTTTTTACTTCACATAAATACATATTAACATATGTACACAAACACACATAAATCATTGTATAACAGAATATCGTCAGGAATTTAAACACTGAAACTTACTCAATAACTCATATCATTTGTAATATTTATAGAATTGAAACTTACTCAATAGCTCATACCATTTGTAATATTATAGAAATAATAATGAAATTCATTAAATAAAATACTCTGTCAAATGAAAAAAAAAAAAAAAAGCCTAGTTTTTCCAGTCTAGGCATTTAGTAGAGAATTTCTTCTATACAGACTAACCATACTCTGGTTATGTCAAACTGATCTTGTTTTAAAACGTGTTCAATACATGTGTTACTAATAAATGTGTTGCTTTTCTTTGTAGTGCTATATATATCAAAATGAACACTGATCAGTAATTTATTTCCAGGCTTATGCCTGACAATTATCAATGGAATGTTATAATCAAAGTAAGATTTAGTATTATATATAGCTTAATTTAAAGTCAAAAAAAGTCATTATATACCGAGTTTAATGTATAAGAAGCTTGGTGTTATTTACTTTAAAATAATTTATGTCATTAGCTGTCCTTAACTGTAAAATACCTGTGGATAATCTAGAAGGTTCATAATTTCAAAAAATTATTTTTTACTTCACATAAATACATATTAACATATGTACACAAACACACATAAATCATTGTATAACAGAATATCGTCAGGAATTTAAACACTGAAACTTACTCAATAACTCATATCATTTGTAATATTTATAGAATTGAAACTTACTCAATAGCTCATACCATTTGTAATATTATAGAAATAATAATGAAATTCATTAAATAAAATACTCTGTCAAATGAAAAAAAAAAAAAAAAAGCCTAGTTTTTCCAGTCTAGGCATGTAGTAGAGAATTTCTTCTATACAGACTAACCATACTCTGGTTATGTCAAACTGATCTTGTTTTAAAACGTGTTCAATACATGTGTTACTAATAAATGTGTTGCTTTTCTTTGTAGTGCTATATATATCAAAATGAATATCAAATAGTATCCCCATCATGCTTGAAACTTCTTATGTTTTGCTTAAAAAGCATGGGATGAGCTTTCTTGGTCATAGTCAGGTAAAATGATTAATAGTCTTGTCAATGCTAAGAAGTCATAAAAATTGAAGTCGTCATTTGAAATGATGGCATTATAAGATTAGTAAGCAAATAGTTCTGTGTTGACATTTCCAAATATAGAAAAAGCAATAAGGAATTTGTCAATAGTATCTGCACTTGATTCAACTGCATTTGGTTTCCTTGGTTTCACTAATTACGGTCATTTGTTCTGGGTTTGTCCAAGGTGGTAAATGATTGGTAGTTTGTAGGAATATGGTCTACCAGAGTGTCATTGAGAAATACCTTTAGGAAGTAATTTCCTAGAAACGTAAGAAAGCACGCTTTTGGCTGCTCATGAAATTTGGTGTCATTATAATTTATTGGACTAGTGATGTGTATGCCATATTTCTGTGGAATCTCATTTTCCATTTTATGTCTAGATTTTGTCATCTTAAATATCCTTGTTAGTGTTTAGTATATTTCTCCCAATTTTGTCTCTATGAAAAAAAATGTTGGAGGATTTACATTGTTTGGGATTATGGATTATGAAACCGTTATACATTTTTTTTTCTGTTCGAATGCCACAAGAGATTTTAAAAAATATTCATTTTCCCAGTACTTAACCATTTCCTATTGTTATTTAAATAGTTTAGAGCCAACCTTGTTTCACAGTACCTTGCATAGTGTAAAAATAATGATCTCAGAGGACTTTTTGCCCAAAGAATCTTACCGTTTACATAAGACGATCATTTTCTCTGGTTAAAGTGATGAACAAAATGATACAAAGAGATTTTTGGTTCCTGTCAGATGAGACAAGAAAAATGTGTTAAGACTCCTTCACCCATCACGAAGCCACCTGTGACCTCTCCCCAACCAGAAGTTGGTGATGTTGGTGAGAACTGGGTCAGCAGTTCTTTTCATTCTGCTTACAGGTATGGATCTCTTCTCCAACTGCACCGAGGAATGTAAAGCGCTGGGCCACTCAGATCGATGCTGGATGCCTTCCTTTGTCCCTTCTGATGGACGCCAGGCTGCCGATTATCGCAGCAATCTTCACGTTCCCGGCATGGACTCTGTTCCAGACACTGAGGTGTTTGAAACTCCAGAAGCCCAGCCTGGGGCGGAGCGGTCCTTCTCCACCTTTGGCAAAGAGAAGGCCCTTCACAGCACTCTGGAGAGGAAGGAGCTGGACGGACTGCTGTCTAATACACGAGCGCCTTACAAACCACCATATTTGAGTAAGTATTATGCAAAAGGCTTTATGAAAGTATTCCCTTTGAGGAAATGAAGTTCTACATTCCATTCTTCTTGGTAAATAGAGTTAGACTGTTTAGAAACAAGGGTAATGTGACTTTGGGATGTAGGCAAGAACTTAGCTGTGGAAAAATGAATATGCTTAACAGGAAGACGAGTTCCTGTGTTAGGACATCATTCTGGACAACAATGAAACATGACTTTTGCTTTGGTTGAAAATACATCTTTCAGATGTTCTTCATATTTCCATAGAATGTTGCACTCCTGATATCCGTGTGTTTTGAAGGGCTGAATTAAAGTGGGGGAACTTCTCTTGACATTGAAGTCAAGCGATCTCGATTTTGTATGGATACCAGCATTAATGCCTAGTTATGCTCTTACCATAGTGTACTGGCCACCTTAGGCCACATACAGAAAGCAGGGCTAGAGCTGTTCTGCCCTTTCAATGTGGTTAGTAACATGTTAGTATGGATTCAAGTCTCTGATCAGAACCAGAGAACTCTCTGATGGAAGCATATCAATTCACCAATACTCTTCATTTATTTAAAATCATAGGTTTTTCTAACCATGAGACATTGATAATTACACTCAGAGCTTTCAGTATGAGGGCCATCCAAGTTCTCTAAGTGGATTGTATTGTACAATCATTGTGAACCATAAAAACCCTTTAAGATTCTATAATATAGTTCCTTTGAGGATGTTGGTAATGAAATTATCCCACTTCTTCACTGCTATAAAGAAAGTTTTTCTTTTTAGTTAATGGATAAGTACTACTGACTATTTGATGTGTTGGTTAAACCACATAAATGATATTTGATAAAGGAGAAACAAAAGGTTACTTTTTAGTATCAAATTTGACTGAGGACTATAATGTGATCTTTGCCCCTCAAATTGAAATTTTGGATTAACAATTTTATTATTTAAAATAAAAGTTTACAAATTTTAAACATCCTGTTTTACTATTTCACTGAAATGAAGAATATGCTTTATAGAAATACCTTATCAGTAATTTCCAGGTAAAAAGGTGAAAGGGCATACATGACTCACAGTAATTAAAATTTACATTTCTAAGTAAATACACATTTTGATTTTAGCCTATATTAACAGATAAATCTACTTCAAATATAAAAGGACATCAACTCACCCTCTTTTCCTCTAAATAAGTACTAACATTGGTGAAATGATAGTTTCATATAGAACTGGAATTTTAACCATTTATGAATGTCTTTACTATATAGTTTTTCTTTTTAATTAACAAAACATAGTAATGATTTTAATAGCGTACTAATGAGCATATATTTTAATGCAAGTGTATTTATTTCTTGGAAATCTAGTGTTTTCTTTTAGAAAGTAGGGATTATGAAATTTATTAGCAGTTATGTGTGTTATTAGAAATCAAATAATGCATTTATCAGTTTACCAGGAAAATTTAGATTTGCCTGAATATTGTGGAGATACTTGTGTTGGAATAAATTCATTTTTAATAACAATTTCTTTTTTTTTTTAATTTGTGTTAGCCAGGTAACATTCACAATTTAGGCTTTGGGTTGAAGTGTGACCTATATAGGAAGTGAGCAGAAAAATAGCTATCTTCTTTTTTTATACTCTCCTTAGTTTCACTGCTATAAAGAAAGTTTTTCTTTTTAGTTAATGGATAAGTACTACTGACTATTTGATGTGTTGGTTAAACCACATAAATGATATTTGATAAAGGAGAAACAAAAGGTTACTTTTTAGTATCAAATTTGACTGAGGACTATAATGTGATCTTTGCCCCTCAAATTGAAATTTTGGATTAACAATTTTATTATTTAAAATAAAAGTTTACAAATTTTAAACATCCTGTTTTACTATTTCACTGAAATGAAGAATATGCTTTATAGAAATACCTTATCAGTAATTTCCAGGTAAAAAGGTGAAAGGGCATACATGACTCACAGTAATTAAAATTTACATTTCTAAGTAAATACACATTTTGATTTTAGCCTATATTAACAGATAAATCTACTTCAAATATAAAAGGACATCAACTCACCCTCTTTTCCTCTAAATAAGTACTAACATTGGTGAAATGATAGTTTCATATAGAACTGGAATTTTAACCATTTATGAATGTCTTTACTATATAGTTTTTCTTTTTAATTAACAAAACATAGTAATGATTTTAATAGCGTACTAATGAGCATATATTTTAATGCAAGTGTATTTATTTCTTGGAAATCTAGTGTTTTCTTTTAGAAAGTAGGGATTATGAAATTTATTAGCAGTTATGTGTGTTATTAGAAATCAAATAATGCATTTATCAGTTTACCAGGAAAATTTAGATTTGCCTGAATATTGTGGAGATACTTGTGTTGGAATAAATTCATTTTTAATAACAATTTCTTTTTTTTTTTTTAATTTGTGTTAGCCAGGTAACATTCACAATTTAGGCTTTGGGTTGAAGTGTGACCTATATAGGAAGTGAGCAGAAAAATAGCTATCTTCTTTTTTTATACTCTCCTTAGTTCTTCATATACCTATATGTCTACCTTCACTTTTGTATGAACTTCAGGTGTTTAGTGTCATCTTAGACTTATACAATTATCTTCAAAATTACATCATGGCTCTTCGTCAATAGTCATAGTCAATTTCATAATCTAATGGAACAAACTATAAACCAAAACTACCACTGACCATTTTGCCCCTCAAATTTCTGGTGCTAGTTTTCAATACTTGTGTCACTTGCCAGCA